TTAGGACTGACTACAATCAAAATAATCTGTGATATCTGTGGACCTTTCCCCCCCCTGCTGTGTAGACCTTACTCATCAGGAAGAGGAAAGGTAAAATAGGGCAGGTTGTTACCTAGCAGCAAATTTAACAGCTGAAGAAATGTAGGTGGATGAAGCGTAGTGTTGCTTAATCCAGATACTTGCGCTTGGTAGACAGACATGCATCGAGGTTGCAGATTACAATTCCAGCCACCCTTGCAGTGAGCAAGTGAATCGGTCTGACGATGTCACTAACTATAATAGGTCTCTGTCTCTCCTCACATCCAGTGCTTCCAAGGCACTCCTGAGTCCACGTAGCCTATCCAGTCTGACTGAAAGGCGGACAATATATTTCCCTTCCATGAGTCAGTTGAGACAAAATTTCAAGCTCTCAAACTGAAACTTCTGCTAATAAGCTAAATGAAAATAGAGTCAAAAGAATAAAAATGGAGTTTAATGCATGCAGATGAAATGGTTTCGACACGTCAGCAATGAGATGTTTACCACATGAGGGAGCTCATTCCTTGGTTAAACTGTTGGCCAGTTATTGCTTATATTGGAGGAAAACCAGTGAATAATCAGGTGAATAACTCATTCATCTCATCCTCAGTCTGTCTTCTGGAACACAAAGTACATTTCATATCACAGGGAAAAAAACTATCATGTTCAGCCTAAATCTTTTCAGGTCAAATATCCATTTTCTGTAATCATTCTTATTTAATCATTCCAGACATTATATCTGGCCAGCCCCTTCTGAAGGGCCACAATTTGTTAATATTCCTCTAAACTGTGACCAAACTGAACAAAGATTTCCAGGTGTAGTAGGTCCCATGAAGGATATACTGAAACTAGTCTTCCTCATTTTTGCACACTTTCTGCCAACATAGCCTATGCTTACGTTAGTTTCATTAGCAATTATGTTTCATAATTGCTTGTATTAAATTTCCAGTCAAGGATGCTTTTTGAGAAAGAAAAAAGCAGCCCCTGACATTCAGGAACTGGCCCGGTACTATCAGGTCAAAATTCTACAGAAAAACCTATTGCCCAGATCTTGATTTCTAATTAATATTCTCCAATAAAAGAAACCAGGTCTCTGAAGAAATGGCTGGTTCCAGGGATGGGTGGAAATACACAAGATGAGTCTGGAGCATCCTATAGAGTTCCTAATGACCAAAGCTGGAACAATTTCAGCAACAAAATAAATAATGTAGTAGTACTGGATTATAACCCAAAGTATAAATAAAAGTCTGTAAGTCCCTACTGATATAAGGAAATAATGAAAGAACAGGAATGAAGAAAGCAGAAGAGAGGGAGGGAGTGAGGGTAGACAAATCTCCCAATACAAAGAATTCCAGATAATTTATGTAGATATTGCCTCCTCCAGTCAGTGGGACATAACTGCCCATTCCCTTAGGTGTGGGTTATGCTTAGTGACTTGCTTCTGAAGAATACAGTATAGAAAGAGAAGAGAAAATAACATTACAGTGGAGAAACCTGGTATATACTACTTTAGCCAAGGTTAAACATCAGTGATAACTCATGTTGATGGCATATACCCTTGATCTGAAGTATTGAGAATAATCCTTCTGAGGTCTTCATCCATAAAGTCTATAAAGTCAGTCTAACCGTGAGAAATACAATCAGGCAAACCCAAATTAGATATTCTGCAACATACCTGACCAGTGCTCAAAATTGTCAAGGTCATTGAAAACATCTGCTTAGAGCCTAAGGAGACAAGATAACTCCATGTAAGGTGGTGTCCTGGATGGAATCCTGGAACAGAAAAAGGGCATCAGGGAAAAACTAGTAAAATCCAAATAAAATGTGAAGTATGGTTAATAATTTATCACTATTAGATCATTAGTTATGACAAACATACCATATTAATGTAAGATGTTAACAATAGGAAAAAATTGATGGGAGTATACACGATTTCTCTGCACCATCCTTGCAAATTTTCTGCAAACTTAAAAGTATTCTAAAATAAAAATTTTATTTAAAGTTTAAAAAATGATCTTTTGACTCATCTAGTCAGATGATTTTGAATAGGGCAAAAGAGAAATACACATTATTCCTCACTCAACCACATTTTGATCACCATTTCTCTTTTTTTAACTTTTTTTTTTTTTTTAAGATTTTATTTATTTGACAGAGAGAGACACAGCAAGAGAGGGAACACAGCAGGGGGATCGGGAGAGGGAGAAGCAGGCTCCCTGCAGAGCAGGGAGCCCGATGTGGGGCTCGATCCCAGGACCCTGGGATCATGACCTGAGCCGAAGGCAGACACTTTATGACTGAGCCACCCAGGTGCCCCTTTTAACTTATATTTTGATAACATAAAACTACTTCTGAATTATTGTATTATTTCCTACTCTACCTTTTTCCCACTGCAATGACAGCTCTGTGAGTCAAGGATTATTTAGTAGCATGCTTCTAAGTTCAATGAGTTTTTGTTGAATGAACGATGAAAAAAAAAATAATTTTTTCTATATACAAATGACTTGATTTGTACCAAAAATTGCGGGGTAGGGAGGGAATTTTTAACAGAACATGATATCTAAGTACCAGGAAAAAGGCTTAAGATGAACTGCTCTAAAACCAGAATACCCATTTTGGCAAATGTCCTTATTTTTCCTACGTTTAATAATCCAATGTAGCCTGTAAATTCACTTAGGAGAACTAGAAACCAATTTGCAATTAACCTATTTTGGAAGGCTAACAAGTTTAATTGATTAACACTAAAAAGTTCATCATTGCTGCAATAGAAATTTTTATGACAACTATGGTGATGACAGCTGGTTGAACCATTTTTTAGGCTAAAATTATCTGGTTTTGCTTTATGCCATTGAACTTTTGAGCTTCGAAAATTTGCCCACAGGTAAAAGAGAGATAATCTCTAAGGAAAATCATGACCCTGTGCCTCCACCTGTAGGAAATTAATTAGGCAACTTCTTGTGTATCTTTCTGGTCATTTGAATAAGAGAACATAAGACCGACCCTCCAACCAGTTGATTTTATGAGCTTAGCGATCTGTCCTTAATTGGCAAGATAAAATATTTTCAGTGTGGAAATTCATTAGACTTAAAACCTCATATTATTTGCAACCAGTTACATAAAACTCAGTTATATGAAATATTGGTAAGATAAAACTTGAAAGCTATGTGATCCATTTATTCTTTAATATTGGGGATTCTTTAAAAATTGAAGCAAAAAATTAAAATTAAAAAAATATATTGGAGATTCTTAACTTGGGGTTCATGGCCCCTCCCCCAAAAATCATACACAAATGATGGACACTCTGTACATACAACTCTTGGTAAAGTGTCTATAGCTTCATCAGAATTTCAAAGTGGTCCATAACTCAAAGAATGTCAGCCCCCACTCCACCCTTTAAAGTTTATTCTTGAATCAAGTCAAACCATCAGACAGTTGCACATTTGTTGAGTATTATTTGGGGGGCTTTTAAAATTATATGTAATTGAGTTTGGCTGTGCAGGCATCAGCTTGCATTGAAGGGAATCCGACATTGCCAGGAACTTGAAAACACAGTGCTGTATACCATGGGAGCCAGTATAAAAACCTATGATTTTTATTGGTTCTTAGTCCTAGCAAAGGCTGGGCTTCTCCTAAACATGTTGTTTGGTTTTTCTTATCAACAGTGTGAATCTTGAAACTGCTCATGAGTCCTTCTTCACCTTGAGAAGTAGGAAACTCAGACCAATTTACAGCTACCCTTTTATCAAAGATAAAGGCTTTTACAACATGCATTTGAAAGTATTAATCTAAACTACAACTACATATTATTAGTTTCCTGTCTTCATTTCCCATCATCTCAATTTCCTCATCTACTTCATGTTATCCTATTGTTTGGTATATATTTTTAAAGCTTCATATCCTTTTTGGAATAAGATGTGAGATGTAAATAGGAAATATATTTAAAAAAACAGAAAACCAAGCTTATAACTAAAGACAAAAATTCTATCAGACTTCACTTTACTAAAACAAAGTTTCTCATTACATTTCTATTTGTTATTCTTTTTAAAAAATGAAGACAATAAAAGTGAGAACATAAAAAAAATGTTAGTCCTTAATGCATAGAAAAACACTTTAATATATAAGGTGGCTTGGTGATGAAATGCACATTTCAGAAGCCACTCAGTACACTATATCAAGATTAAATATTATTTTTTAGGACAATACTGGCATTAATTTTGGCACAGTTTTAAAGTCAACATTATGTATAAGATACCTTATAAAATTAGTTACAGCATTACTCCATTGACTGCTGTATTTAAAAATATATTGCATTTGAATTTTAAATGTTTTCTTTAAGATGCTTTACAAAGATGCCTTCCAAATAAAAAATTGACAAGTTACCTGAAAACACGGAAATGCTAATTCAATAGCCATAAAGCATTTACACAACAACAAAAATACAACTTTCATAAATATTAAAGAATCAGAAATAACAATTTTGATAAATACTACAGGAAATATTTGACCTTGGAAATACTGACAGAATTAAACTTTCAGGTTGATGTCCCCTTGCTTGAGGTCTTTTCTATGTTCTTTCTCTTATACGTAAAACTCATGTTTTGTAAAATCAGGTCCTATAATATTAGAGAGGAGAAATTGTTGTCACTCTAATGTGACTCTCAAGATTTCTTACTTTTAAATAACCCTATTGAAAAAACTTTTAAAACCTAACTACATGTTCTATGTTTAAAATTTCTTCAATAAATGTAATAGGAATAATTATAGTGTTAAATAGCTTTCTTATGAACTATTCATGGGGAAAATAAGGTAATAATTTTAATGGTCTACCAAATGTATTATGTCTCAAGATCATTCAGATCTCTGCATATCAGAGCTCCCGCAGGTTCTAAATAATACAAAATTAGTAAAAATGAAAATCAAACTCAATCATATTAGGAAAAAATAAGGCAAATTTGCTACCTTGTTGGCAAATAAGGATTAAATATTTAATTTTTAAGAACACTAAACTGCTGTTCTCTTAAGTACACATTTAAATTACCTCCTGTTATCTTCTGTGGAAAATCATACTTGGGAGGCATCACCTGTCTTCTGCCCATTCCATGAGATCGTGAAAGCAAGCAGTCTACATACATGTCCCAGAAATCCTGAGCTATACTTAAGAAGACATTGTAATGTCTAGGCCGCTGGGATTTTTTCAAGAACAACATGAAATTCCAGAAAACATCCACATTGTGCTGTATCTTGAGTTCCTTGAGATCTATCATGGTCAAAGAGCAAGCATTCCAACACTGGAAATCAGTATCTTCTGTGATGCCTGGGCTGATGCTAGCAAGCACCCCCTTTTGAAATTCAAAATCAGCATTAATCAGGTTGATTAGCATCATGCAGCCCAGTGGTAGGTAGAACCATCTTCTTGTGACAAAACCCATATTCTATACAGAAGGGAAAAAAAAAACAAACAAGGAATATATTTTTTTAAGTTTTTATTTTTTTATTTAAATTCAAGTTAGTTAACATACAATACTACACCGGTTTCAGGAGCAGAACCCAGTGATTCATCACCCACATACAATGCCCAGTGCTCGTCCCAACAAGTGCCCTCCTTAATGTCCATCACCCATTTAGCCCATCCTCCTACCCACCTGCCCACCAGCAACCTTCAGTTTGTTCTCTGTATTTAAGAGTCTCTTACGGGGACGCCTGGGTGGCTCAGTCGGTTAAGCGTCTGCCTTCGGCTCAGGTCATGGTCCCAGGGTCCTGGGATCGAGTCCCACATCGGGCTCCCTGCTCCGCGGGGAGCCTGCTTCTCCCTCTGCCTCTGTCTCTCATGAATAAATAAAAAAAAATAAAATCTTTAAGAGTCTCTTATGGTTTGCCTCTCCCTCTGTTTTTATCTTATTTTATTTTTCCTTTCCCTCCCCAATGGTCATCTGTTTTGTTTCTCTAAAAAAAAAAAAAAAAAAAAAAAAAGAGGGAATATATTTTTAAGTTAAAAAGAAAATTATTCAGGATGCCTGGGTGGCTCAGTCTATTAAGTGTCTGCCTTCGGCTCAGGTCATGATGCCAGGGTCCTGGAATCGAGTCCCGCATCAGGCTCCTTGCTCAGTGGGGAGCCTGCTTCTCTCTCTGCCTGCAGCTCCACCTGCTTGTGCTCTCTCTCTGACAAATAAATAAAATCTTAAAAATAAATAAATAAAGATAAAAAAATTATTCAATTACTTAATGATTTGTTTAAACTTAAAATTTGTAAATACATACATATGTGGTTTTGATTAAGCCAAATTTGCCTTCTATGTATTTGTTGGTTTTCCTCTAAGTTGCTGACTCTCAGACCTTCCTTTGAAAAAAAAAGTTACAATTTGTTTACCAACCTTCTGATAAAGTCTTCAGGAGCCACTGAAATCCAAAACATGTTTATGAAGATGTGATGGATTCATTTCACCACAGACTTTTAGAGCTGAAAGAAATCTTTAAAAGCATGTGCTCCAACCTTCTCCCTTTACAAATTAGAAAAATTCTCCTGATATGGCTCAGCAAGTTCTCAGGTCTCCGGTCACCCTATCCAAGACTCCTACCACAACACATTCCAACTAAGGGGATCAGAATACAGTCCATTCTATGTGTAGCCATGAGAAAAAGGTGTTTATTTATTTATTTAATTTAGATGTTACCAGTCTATTAACCCAAATGGTGTTGGATGCTCAAGCACCAATTTTCAAAATTACTGATGCTTCTTACATTTATTCATTGAAAAATATTTGTTATGCACTGATGCCTGGTACATCCCTGGCTTCTCTCAGGTTGTTCAGGATCTGTTTGGAGATTGACATACACACCTGAAGGAGCACGAAGACAATAAAGGTAATATGAGCTAATATGATATAGTGCAAGGTCAATGACATTCGGCAAAATCTTGGCATTTTCTAATGGTTCTTTGCCCAAGTTTCCCTGCCAACTGATCACTCAGTAAACTGGCTACATAAGTGGACATCGAGGGCTAAATTGGCTTTGAATTGCCACGGAGCTACTATTCCAAGCTGGCATTGGAAATGTCCCTGACACAACCTTGACAGCCGGGGGAGGGGGGTGAGGGGGGCCGTGTGACAGATCCAGAAGACTCACCACCTCCTTACTGATATACCGCTGTCTGACACCTCCCCTAAATAAGTTAGGATAAAGAAACAAATCAAAAGAAACATTTAAACTTAGGTTATTCCGGTCGTTTCACGTTGTCGAAAACTGTGCAGATTCCCCCAAATGAGCTGAGAGTGCCAATTTATGATTTAAGAAAAGGACTGGATAGGGGCGCCTGGGTGGCTCAGTCGGTTAAGCGACTGCCTTCGGCTCAGGTCATGATCCTGGAGTCCCGGGATCGAGTCCCGCGTCGGGCTCTCTGCTCGGCGGGGAGTCTGCTTCTCCCTCTGACCCTAACCCCTCTCATGTGCTCTCTCTCATTCTCTCTCTCTCAAATAAATAAATAAAATCTTTAAAAAAAAAAAAAAAAGAGTTATCCATGTTATTATTCATGAACACTTGGCTTATCTCCAATTTTACTATAGTAATAGTGCAACAATAAGAGTATAAACCCTGGGCGCCTGGGTGGCTCAGTCGGTTAAGCGACTGCCTTCGGCTCAGGTCATGATCCTGGAGTCCCGGGATCGAGTCCCGCATCGGGCTCCCTGCTCGGCGGGGAGTCTGCTTCTCCCTCCGACCCTCCCCCCTCTCATGCTCTCTCTCTCTCATTCTCTCTCAAATAAATAAATAAAATATTTTAAAAAAATAAAAAAAAGAAAAGAAAAGGACTGGGTAGGGCCTGAGGATTTCTTCCACAAGAATTTCAGGTTACACTCCTGACCAGTGCCCTCCTGCGGGTCGGTCATCCGGACTCGGAAGAGGGAACGCGAGCGCGAAGGGAGTACCTCTCTTCGGCGCCGAGGCGCGCGTCCAGCGTGGTGTTCCCGTGCGCTCAGCTCGCTCGGGGTCTCGGGCGGCTCCTACCTGGGAGGAACAAGAGGTCTCAGCGCGGCCACCGGACGACTCCCGGACCTCCCGACTCCCACCCCGCGCCCAGCCGGACCCACCCCCGGCGGCAGAAAAGGCAGGAAGCGGTCCTCCGCGGGCGCCCAGAGCGCCTCGATCTCGCCCTACTGAAGTGCGTCGGCCCCGCAGCGCTCCGGGGCTGGGAGGCTCTGGCTCGCCGAGGGCGGAGCTTCGGGCTCTGCTGCGAACCCCGCCGGTGGCGCGGTGGTCAACCCCGCACCCGAACCACGCTCCTTTTCTAGAGAAAGAGGCGGCAAAGAGTGGGTGGCCGCGCTCCCGAGGCGCAGCCCTCGTTTCGCCCATCTTCCCTGACTGGAGACCCACTGGGCCCGCCACGCCCTGCACTGCTCCTGTCTTGTACTCCTCCGAATTTCTCGAAATTACAGCGGCTCAGGTATTCCTCGCTCTTTCCCTTCCTCTTTCTGCCTTTCTCTGAGAAAATCCAGCACAGCAGTCAGTCTACTATATACCAAGGTTATCTCCTCCCTCCATCCACCCAGCCCCCGCCCTATTCTACTATCCAGAGAAAAACTTTCCTAGGGCTATGGACTCTATTAAAATGAACCTCCTTGATGAGTTCTAACCTCTAGCTAGGTGCCATTTAAATTATTAATACTAACACATACACACTTGCAACGTATCTTCCCTGCTACCTAAATAGACAGTGCTTAACGCTGAGAAGAGAGTTTTCCTTAACCTTTCGTAGAATGAAGACTCGGCTCAAGTCCCTTAAATATCTTGACACATCATTTGGACTACCTCTGTGTTTAAGTCTATGCCCAAACCCCAATAGCAATCATCACAGGAGCTGTATGGGAAATCAACCTAAAGCTAGTTGTCTTGGGGCGCCTGGGTGGCTCAGATGGTTAAGCATCTGCCTTCGGCTTGGGTCATGATCCCAGGGTCCTGGGATCGAGCCCCATGTCCAGCTCCTGGCTAAGCGGGGAGCCTGCTTCTCCCTCTGCCTCTCCCCCTGGTCGTGCTCTCTCTCTCTCTCTGTGTCTTGAATGAATAAATAAAATCTTTAAAAAAAATAAATAAATAAAGCTAGTTGCCTTATCCCTACTTACCCTTAGGCAGGTCACCCTTTCCTCATGGGTTCTTCAGCTGGGATGGTGAGGCTATGGTCAAACCCAACAGCCCCATCTCCCAGCAGTTGTCCTCCCTAAAGTCCACGTCTCCCAGCCCTACAGCTGTTCAAAGCTCCACCCTGCCCTCCTCATCATATCAGTACAGCCATCATTAGTCCTGCCCTGGCAATGCCTTCTCATGTCCCTCCCAAATTTAGGACCAGCTCTTCCACAAAACAGAACTGAGAAGTGATTCATTTACTCTGATTAGGTAGAATGCACACAAATCCATCTCACAGCAGATTTTCTGCAGCTCTAGGTTTCCAGGCATTTCAGTCCACTATTAATCATGGACTCTTAAAATTAGCAGAGACATTAAAAATTACCTAATCCAACATCCAACATCCCATCTGAAACTTGAACCCCTCCCTCTCCCAAAGAATTCCCCACCCACCAAAGCTGTTGTCCAATTTGACTTGACCTTGGACACTCCACTCCTATAAAATAAGCAAAGGACACAAACTAGTAATTCATAGAAGAGTAATAACCAAAATCCAGTATATATGAGAAAAGAAGCTTGCCTTCAAGGAAATAATACATTGTTTTCTCTAATTAAAGTTTAACAAAAATTGAAGCATTTGGTATTATACATTAACAAATTTTTGAGAAAATGAACACTTTCATATGCTTTTGAGAAGAGTGTCAGCTAGTAAGTATAATCACCATGGAAGAAAACTGGCATAATTTTTTCAATCTGAAATGATCCAGAAATTCCACTCCTAGTGTCTACCATCAAGTCAATGACAGAAAATATCCACTATACGATTGATTTCTCTCCAGGGTCCACTGCTACATTATAAATAGAACCTGTCTAAATGATGACAAATGTATTTTTTAAATCATTGTTGGATAATCCAGAAAGTGAAACCTCCAAGGAAAAAAGGTAATAGAGGAGAAAGAAGAAGAATCAAAGAGTAAGGAAAAGAGGGAAGAGGAGAAAAACAGAAGGAGGCTAAAAAAGTGAGATATGGATAGTAAATTTGGAATTTGTTAATTGATAAATACATATGGTAAAAAGTGAGATATAGATACTGAATTTACACTTTGTAAAGTTATTAAATATGTATGGTAAAATTTCTTGGGTAATTTCTAAATGACAGAAATAAGGAACACAACTTTTGAACAGGTAGAAAATAAAAACTGAGTAAGAAAAACAGATTGATATGTGAGCAGTGTAGGTGGTCTTGCTCTGTGCTTCGCTGCAGGCTGCAGTTTTGTTCTCTGAGTCATGTGGGGTTGGCTGACTTTTCTCCTGATTCTAACACAGCCCACTGTTACAGTGAGCAGGCCACTCCAGGCCCTTCCTCCTGGAGGATCCAGAGAACTTCCAGAAGTAGAAGGCAGCTCTACTTCTCTACAAAGGAGTGGGATCTTTTCAACCACAAAGCCTATTGTTGAACCCCCACCTCTTAGGTATGGTGCTGACTCTGCTCTCTTGTCTTTATTAGACTGATGGAGTCCCTGGGGGGCTTAGTGGAGAGCCCATTGCCTGGGAGCTCCTGGACCACCAAAAGTCAACTGGCTAGCACAGAGCCCCCAAGCACCTTCCAGACCATCCATCTAGAAGGGTGTGGATAAGATCTCCCTCCACCAGCTATAACCTTGGAACATGGAACTAAGCATGTCCAACCAGGTGTCAAATTCCTGGGCAGGCAAATTCAGAGCATAAGTGTTATCAGAACTTGAAGGTCCTCTCCATCTGGATGTCCCTTGTCCTGGATAAAGAGCCTGTT